CGTATAAGTGGTAGCTAATGAAGAAGTTCGTGAAGTATAAGGAAGATGGGGAGTAAACATGGGGTTGATGAACTAAGATTAGAGTTACTCTGTTATCACTGGTGATTGAAGCCAGGTATTACACGTATAAGTGGTAGCTAATGAAGAAGTTCGTGAAGTATAAGGAAGATGGGGAGTAAACACGGGGTTGATGAACTAAGGTTAGAGTTACTCTGTTATCACTGGTTATTGAAGCCAGGTATTACACGTATAAGTGGTAGCTAATGAATAAGTTCGTGAAGTATAAGGAAGATGGGGAGCAAACATGGGGTTGATGAACTAAGGTTAGAGTTACTCTGTTATCACTGGTTATTGAAGCCAGGTATCGATTAATCTGCAAAATGTAAACAAGTTTGGACATGTTACTTCTGTTGTCATGTACAAAATATACTGCTGTACCATAAATTAGAGGACACAAGTTGTAACAGAAGACAAGTTATCAAGTGGATGTAGAATGTCCGCCAGTGTGTTTCTACCAATGAACAGCAAACAAACAAATTGGTGAAAGTTTCGTTAAGGAACACCTAACTATTATGTGTTTATCCAAACTTTGCTATTGCTGTTTTTCGTTACCATGATACGTATTGCATACTGTTTATAACAACACATAAACAGAGCATTCGTGGTAGAATAGGTACATCTTATTCCAGTCTAGTGTTTATATTGTTAGTCTGTCTTTATAAGGTTAATTAACCAAATGTTCTGAAGTATGGGATAAACATAATAGTGGATTTTTTAAGAATATAATTATATATGCGTTTATTATTGTTTTTACTTATGTAAAATTAATATTGTATTTAGAAATTCGTAAAAATTTGTTTTGCGTCGAAATTTACATTAATAATGAGGTTAACTCGATCCTTTAGCATATAAAAGATAAAACATTTTTTTTAAACATTACAACATTTATATATATATATAAAAGAAGATAAAGGCAATAATGACAAAATTGTATCATCATTATCCACAATTTATTTACAGAGAAAAAGTTGAAAATTGTTAACAAAATTAGTTATGCTAATAAAATTGCACCAGATTTTTAAATATATGGACAAAATTTTTAATGTTTCTCGTAACATTTCCTCTTACATTTCATTTTTCCTGTCGAACTTGCTGTCTTCTTTCTGGTTTTCTTCTTATCTGGATTGAAAAGTCTCGTGTTTTACTTAACGGTACAGAGAGTAACCGGTCCGTTAATTCTCGAGAGGTTTTTTTAGCTGTCACAATCAATCAGAATCGTTAGTTTCGTGTGATTTGTAGTATTGTTGACGATTCTTAACCAGACTACCACTCACCCACCTATTCAAATTTTTTTCTTTCGTTATTCCTGTTCCTCATGTCACAACATTCTTACTTTTACCTTTTGCGTTGTGTAGGTTGACGTTTGCTTGTCCAAGATCATAATCTAGTTTTCTTTTCCATGAAAGGCAACAGTTTCTTTAATCTGGCAAAGAGCAAGTCTCATTTAAATAATCGTCGCTATTGATTCCTTCATCCGGCCTGAAAAGTTTTGCATAAACGAACAAATTCAAGTATCAATGAAGAAACTTCGTGTTAATTTTTTCCCTTAATCTGGAGTACATTTAGTCTGGATAACCAGTTTTATTTTTGTCAAGTTTTAACCTGTACACACACATACACATATATATATATATGCAAGTAATTTAGTGGAACAAATTATTTCTAAAGTTTATACATCGTTTCAGTTTTTTAAGGAATAGTTTAGAAGCTTTAATTGTACACAACTGAAAGTGTTACTACTTAGTCTGGTCCTTGTCAAGGTTTACTTATTGATGTTTTTATATAAAAAATAATTTTACTAGGTAGCAGCGAAAGTGTTGAAATTCTTCCTAATTAACATTAAAATAAATTATAGTAGCAAAAAAGTATAGCGTAACATAGAAAATATGGGCATACAGTATATAAGAAAACAACACCATACAGTAACCCACTCGCACAAACGCAAGAACTCTCGGAAATGCAGGTACATACAATTATATATGTTCAGTTTGTGTACACAATACAGAACAGAAAATCATTCATGCTGAAGAAAAATATTATACGAAAGTCAGAAAATTCCACTTGACATCCCGGAGAGCACCCCCTCCCCCAATGACTAAGTGGTAAGTCTGAGGGCAAAAAATGCTCGAAATCTGATTTCGATACTCGCGGCGGGCACAGCACAGATATTTCAATGTGTAGCTTTGCACTTAAAAACAAACATCTCGGAGAAGGATTCTTATGAGGAGTGATGCTCTGCTCTTTAATGATGTTCTCTTCCTGCCCATCCACACACATAAGGAAGTAACACCATCTATAACCCGCGCGCGAGAACGCTGTGTTCACATATTGAACATTGAAATATATATATATAGTATTTTTAAACTATAACTTGAGTAAGGCCGGTTCTAGTGTATATAAAATAATTTATTCGACACGAAGAGTCATAAAAAGTCTGTATTTTGCTGCTGAACTGCAGACATTTAATCATTAATTAGAATGAGTAGTGTACTGTTTTCTAGAACAACCGTGTTTTAATGTAGCAATATATGAGTGTGTAACCTTCCTACTATGCTTTTTGTTTACTTTTAGTTATTAATCATATCATGAAATACTTTCTTCACTTCCTTTTACAGGAAGCTCAGTTTAAACAGTTGACGAGGGAGTTAGAGGCTGAAAGACAGAGCGTTGCTACGCAACTTGAAACTGTAAGTATACCCCAGAATAATGAAAGAGATACATAATTCTGTGCTTACGTCAGTGACGTTACTAAAAGGATTGTTGTCTTATTTTAGTTTTACAGAGGATGTTAAACAAACTCGAAATAAATGGTTGAAACAAGGTTTACTTTGCTAGAATTCGTTATGTCTATCTGTTTGTCTCACTTAAGTATATGTACACGGTAAATCCTGTACAATTTGAATATTTGTCAACCCGTTTCAGTAACAAAAGCGTTAAATGTATGTCTTAAATTATAAACATGGGTTTTACTTAATTTGTTTTATGACACTACAGTAAGTGTTCGTCTTTTTAACAAAACTTCATGACATAGCCTCATTCTCTCGTCTCAGTAGAGTGCAGCAAACGCGCCACCTTGTACAAAAAACAAAAACAAACAAACAAATGTACACTGCGAGTGTGGAACAACTCAATACATTAACACAATACATGTATTATGTCACATAAAGTATCGAAACTCGTATATCCTTGTTGCAATCTATCAGTGACTTCTTGTGAACATAGTTCCGCTGTACCCAGTCATGTATATAAACGAACATCATAATTGTATATCGCTATATCACACATCATATTATGTGGTTTACTTAGTAGACTGACATGAGTGATGCGGACATGTTCTGGTAAATCTGTTACTGGCTGAAACACGCACCTTCACTTCAGATTTATCTAGAATATTGATATCATTTTTATCATATTATTTGGCTTTTATAAGTGTGACTTGTCAAAGGAATGCAAAGGAAGAGAAAAAAGTCACATCATTTGCAGCGTGGGTCAGACAGAAAAGCACCGAACAATACAAGTAAAGGTTGTAACATTGAACTTGAGTTTGGGAACAGTATAAAATTATCATACATAACAATTCTTTGTCTTGTCAAAAAAGTAATACAAAGTATCCTTACGTTTTTTCTAATTTCCTTTTTTTATGTGCAAAATCATGTGTTTTATGAAATGAATACTCCTAATTCTGTGCTTTAACATTCATGCATTTTTCCACCTAAAACAGTGAATATTTAAACGTTATGCAAGGACTCAATGATCAAAAAAGTGAAAAAAAAATTACCTTGACATTTTTCAATGTTTAAACTTTCCATTGTATTTCCTTAACGTCTATAGATTCTTCCAATCAAACTATGAATAATTAGACATTATACAACGAGTCAATGATCAAAAAATAAAAATATTTTGCCTTGACATTTTGCATTGTAGGCGAGGTAGTGGTAAAAAATACCCAACCGCAAAACGTAAAATGCAAAACTGAAAGTTTGTATGGACCTGATGAACCGCCATACCAGTTTTGGTGAAGATCCATCCACATCCTGCGAAATAGTTGCATGGACATACAACAGACAGTACTATTATATATATATATCAATACGTTCAAGTGGTTATGAATTGGTTTACAAAACAAAGAAAATAAAGTAAAATATTGGCCTTTATTTCCATTTTGTTAAATTTATTAGTTTAAAAACGTGTAATAGCGGCATGAACGTATCAATCTCTAGTTGTCATTACACACTTAACATATTAAAAACATCAGAACGTCGAAACATCAAAATTATAAAAGAATTAGAAACAATCACGTGACTATTCTTTCACTTTAATTGACGTAAGCAATGCATAATTGTTCATAGCCAAGTCGTGTTGCCTGCCGAACGGCAAGACGCTCTGACCAGCTCTTCTTTATAAGTATAATCAGTCTAGCCTAATGTAGAGCAGATACGAATCAAAACGTCCTTGTGTACCACGAAAAGGGCAGTTGAAACCATTTAACCTGAACATGGATAAATGGGTTAACTCACGACTGGGCATGCCCAAGAAATGTAATGGTATTTATGTAACTCATTATCCTCTTTAATCTATATTATATTTTGTGTAATATAATTAAGTGACCTTATTTGAATGAACACACGTACCAACTTTGATTACTCATTTCAGCATGTAAACATGAACTGTTTGTCATGACAAGCCGTTACATGACCTGCATGTCGAGTTAAAGTATGTTCGCTTGTTGTTGTTTTTTTTGCCAACTGATTTTCTACGTTAATATGAAGAGTTATTTTTTTAAAGTTTCTGTTATTCCTTTTAAAGTATAAACGTCGGGAACGTGAGCAGTACGAAAGTGGGAGCCTGTTGAGTTACGGGTCGACTGAGGATAGAGAAAATACATACAGTTGGCGATCTCCCTCCAGTCATAGTCTTGTCTTCCGAGAGAACTCCGAGCAAGGCCGGAGAATGGCCGATTCCCACCTGTAAGTAAGCTTACTTACATTTTTATGAAGGTTATTGAAGTTTAGTAATCTCATGGAAATGCTTACATTCTAGGGCACAGTTTTCACCCTCAAATATATTGGTGTCTTGTACGAAACTGTTATGAATATATAGATTAGCGGTGCCGCAGTAAGTATGAAACTACTATGGATATATAGTTTAACGGAGCCGTAAGTATAAAACTACTATGGATATATAGTTTAGCGGTGCTGCAGTAAGTGTAAAACTACTATGGATATATTGTTTAGTGGTGCTGCAGTAAGTATAAAACTACTATGGATATATAGTTTAGTGGTGCTGCAGTAAGTGTAAAACTTTTTATACTTACTGCGGCACCGCTAAACTATATATCCATAATAGTTTTATACTTACTGCGGCGCCGCTAAACTATATGTCCACAGTAGTTTTATACTTACTGCGGCACCGCTAAACTATATATCCATAGTAGTTTTATACTTACTGCAGCACCGCTAAACTATATATCCATAGTCTATTATGGATATATAGTTTAGCGGTGCCGCAGTAAGTATAAACTATTATGGATATATAGTTTAGCTGGTGCCGCAGTAAGTATAAAACTACTATGGATATTTAGTTTAGCTGTGCCGCAGTAGATGCTGATGAATTCAACGTAACAGCTGTTGTTTTTTTTTAATATAATAATGTTTGTGTATCTAACATCTATTCCGCCGCCGAGGGGAAGAAATCAAATGAACTGGTTAAAGTAGCCTATCTGTACTACTACTGGCGCTAGAAACTGCGGGCATTGCTTGCTGCTTTTAATGTGAACGAAAATACCACTAGAGGAAATTGGTTAACTTTGAATCACATTCACATTTCAACTAGAACAGCCTGGCGGTAATATCAATGTAACGTAAATTATATGATTTTGAAAAACAGTAGAATGATTACATATAACAAAAAATAATACTTAAAAATCCTATTATCATTGTTTTTGTATTTCTTCATTAACCACATTAATCCTTTGTTTCTATTTCTTTGGTTTTCTTCCTATCGAATCAGGTGTCATGTTCCTGTAGTTATACAATAATAGAATTATGATGAGTCAATACACAATTCTCACATAATACACATCAACATAATCTATATTATAATACATACAATGTATTATAACGATGTGGTAATTAAAAATTGGTTCATAAGATCTTTTAAAGTTGTATTTTCTGTCATAATAGCACATCTGGTTTAGAGATGTCAGGGGTAGAAAGATTTATAACTTCTTTAGAAACTGCCTGTTGGTGGTTGTTTATTTCTAACGTTGACTCTCCTGAACTTTCAAGCAATTCGAACCGCAGCCGTAAACTTCAGCCCGCGAATAAAAAGCTAGAAACACTAACCCAGTTCTTATTTCACTGCTGCAGTATATTACTTGTTTTTATGGGTTCATTTTCCTCCTGATTCTCCTCCCACCCTCCACCGTATTAAAAACAGTGGATTTGTTTGAGAAGGGACAAATATTAAAATTGAATATCATTATATTACTGAGTGTTGTAAGTTCTAACCATGTATATCGGAGTAGTTTGAAAACTATTATAACTGAGTAAGTGGGGTAGGCATGCTCCCCCCATGAAACGTTTAAGTATTAAAAGGAAAGTCGCCATATTATGCTGCATTGTATAGGCAGCTGTTGTCGAGACTATACTTTTGGTTTCATTGTCCACCAGAAAAAAAAACCGTTTTTAAATCCAGAAAGTGGGTCATATCTGCTGTCCCAGAATAAGAAATTATACGAGTCGACAAACATTTTGCATTGAGACCGACATATTTGGTTCTGACCCGTATTTTGCCAAGGATGATACACGTGAAACCTAGTAATGGAATAATAATAAACAATGCCCCAAAATACCCCTGAATAATATGTCTGTTCCTTTATCACAGGCCCTCCCCCAGTTGCTCAGCGGTAAGTCTGAGGACTCATACCGTCTCAAAACCGGGTTTCTATACTCATGGTGGGAACAGCACAAATAACCAATTGTGTAGCTTTGTGCTCAACATCAAACAAACCTTTATCACAGAACACTGCCGATGAACAGACTCGGAAGTAATCAAGGAAGTGCCGCTGACAGTTCAGTGTTGTTGTCTTTTTGTTTTTGTTTTGTTTTTTCAAAGAATAAAACAGTCACAAAGTAACGGAAATGCATTATTTAGATACCAACAGCCCGAATTTCCCATAGTGTGACACACGTGACACATTTTCTCTTATCATGTCATCATACCCATTTTATCCACCACCCCTTGGAAAAGTATGAAATTAAACGTAAATTACTCTCTATAGAATCGTTATTGTTCCAAAAACCTTTTTTTTTATAGTTTTTAATTATGTTTAGTTACAGAGCTATCCAATAGAAAATCAAACACCTCCTGCCACACCCACCTGTCACATCCTTCTTTTCAGGATTTGTTAATAGTTCTCTTTTACGTTTAAATATATATATTACTTATAATCAATAGAAAGTCAAGGTTTTCAGCTATAAAATTACGTAATGTATAACGTTATGTTCTGAATGGTTAAATGTCAATTTACCAACATTGTTCCCGTGAGAAAGTTAAAGACCAGCTTGGATGAATTTGTAACGACCCTTGTCCCATAGTTAGAAAGCAAGAAAATTTTAAAGAGGTAAGGGAATTTGTCTACTTTTGCATGTTACTAGTCTATATTCTTTGGTGCATTATTTAATTAAATAA